TATTATGTATAACCAAAACATTATATTAATATAGGGAAACAATTGCCAAAACATCTCAGGTACTTAAAGCCAACATAATAAATAAACTGTCAAACTCCAACACAACCATAGAAACACGAAAAGTATCAAATTTAATCTGAATCAAATCCATTTGCACTAATACGACAAAAACGCATATATGCCAGACGGTTGTGCAGGTTATTTAATAGACTAATATAAGTTAATTACAAAGCCATGCTGTGACAGCACAATGGTTTTGTGAGGTATGAGACAGTAACACCATGTTATTTTTTATATTATATTACTTTTATTTCCTAAATGTCATAGCATACCTTGGTACTTTTACGGTATTGCACAGAATACGTACTATAACTTATTTGTAATGTGCGGTGTTCGGGCTGATGCAATTTCCACGTTTCTTCTGCAGTTATTGTCAGTCAATTAAACTGTAAATTATCTGAGCTGAAATAACAAAGCTAAAGCTAACAGTCACTGAACTACATATGAACACAATTTTGCATTAACTCGGTTGTCTGCGATGTCCTGCATTTCATGCCTTTCAAAATCCCTGAGATACTATTTATTATCTTTTTGTTGTGCAAGGAGATGAAACCAATAACGTTACACGTCTCCATAGCATTAACTTTAGCCGAGCTGCTAAGGCTTTAGCATTAGCAATAGTTGATGTATAAAGCACCTGCCAGTTTTATTTAGATTAGCTTGACGTATATAGACAATAAATAGAACGCATCACCCTAAAAATACGCATTTCATTGCCTCAACGTGGCGGCAAGCTATGCACTTCTATCTATCTAGGAAGCGCTTTGACAGCATGTTACTGGACCAGCTAACAGAAATAGTGAGCACTAAGGGCCTGCCATGCTTCTAAAATGCTCTAATTTAGCAATATAAACACACAAACCAAAACAATAGCGCTCAAATCATCGCTCACCCTAATGACAGGTTCTACCCTTCCTCTCTGAGGGCTTGTTTTAACGCTGGTTCGGCTCCTGTTGAGTTCCACAGACAGGTGGCTGTAAGTCTCTAACGTTACTGTTCTGCCTGCATCATGTCAGCTACTGTAAACCAACGTGACCCCGCAACTTCTTCTTCTTCTTCTTCTTGAAATTGTATTGGCTGTTGACAAACAACAAAATGGTGTATTTCCGCCACCACCTGGAATGGAGTGTGGATCAAAAATTGACTTCCTTCCCAAATTTTTGTTTTTTCTTTTTCCTCTTATTTTTTTTTTTCTTTTATTTTTTTAAAATTCTCTCCCACAAATTAGTTATTTTAAGGAACTGAAAAATATTTTACCTCACTTCCAATTTTTTTCCTTGTAAAAAACATTATCTTTGTTTTGTCAACTGAGAATTTAAAACCCCATTTATATGACCATTCTTCAACTATTGCAATAGCCACCTGTAATTTTTTAACAATAAAGTCAATATTCCTTCCCCTTTTCCAGATTGCCCCATCATCAGCAAAGAGCGAAAACCCCAACCCACTATCCAGATCTTCAAATACATCATGTATCATTATGGAAAACAATAAAGGGCTCACTATACTTCCTCGTGGAGTTCCATTTTCTTACAGCACTTGTCTTGTACCTTCTCTTCACACTTTTCAATTCTATGATCACCTCCACACTTAGGGCATCTTTGTTTTCCTTTGCACACCGCTGCTATATGTCCATATCTCTGACCCCTCAACTTCAACCTCCAGAACAAAGCTAAAACGCGTCAAACTACGACCTCTACTGGCCACAACAGGAAATGTTAAAGCTCTCCCTACTAGAATAAAACTGCGAACTCTACTGGCCACAAGGAGGACGAAGTAACGTTAGAGTGGAGTGAAGATAATATTTTTTTTCCCTAAATGGAATTATCTAGTTAGTAAAAGAATAGTGATTTGTTTGCATTATATTAACCCAATGTATTATAATGTAAGGATTTATTCTCAATTGTCATTATTTGCTGGCAGGTGCATTTCAACAGAGAAGTCCCTTAGAAGCACTGAGGCGTCGGACATTGGTTGATTGCTGTAGTTGTATTTTAATGTATTGTAGTTGTATTGCAATGTATTTTAAAGACATGATAGTACGTTTTTATTATTTGCATATATATATATATTAAATAGTAAATTCTTTTAATATATGTAAACATATTATTTATATATCTTCTAGAGCCACGTTTTTCAATTTGCGCACTAACACTCCCTGGTGGTCTAGTGGTTAGGATTCGGCGCTCTCACCGCCGCGGCCCGGGTTCGATTCCCGGTCAGGGAATTAGGTTCTTTTTATGCAAGTTTGTTTTCAAACGTAATAAATTGTAAATCTGGTTTGAACTCTACCTGTTACCTATGGAAATCTGTTTGGAAAACATTTTTAAAGCTAGGAGTCCGACAAGATGCGCGTTAAATATCGCATGCGATTAATCGTGCAGCCCTAGTCCCTAGTGACAAGCAGTGGTGCTCAACTAGGAGCCCAGGATCCACTAGGGGGCCTCAGAAAACATCTAATGGGGCACAGGGTGACTTGTAATTATTCAAAATTAATATTATTAATAAAATAACACAAAAACGTCATTAAAAATGGCTAAAACACAGATAATCAAGAACACCCCCCTCTCAATCTTTTTTGTTCCCAGTTTATGTTTTCAAAAAGAAAAAAATATATAAAAAAACGAGCAACTTTGATGTAATTATAGCCAAAATATTGGAGGATATTTGGAAAATAGGCTTTGCATCTGTTTGACAAATTGTGGCCTTCTTGTCCAAAAGGTTTAGAACACTGCCCCAGGTTAACAAATTAAAACGGTTTTAACTGTTACAAAAACTTTGAAGCACAACACCAAACAGACAGGTTATTTTCTATGAAAAATCTATTTATTACAAAATAAACACACATCTTCGTTTTTGTTTTGTAGTTTTTGTGACACATTATAACTGAGCAACTGATGATAACTGATAAATTGGTTACTGATGTCAGTGTATACAACAGATCAACCTTAACTCATGTCTTATCAGAGAACCTAATCTACAACACTGACCTACAGGTACGAGTAACATCTCAGATTTAAGATGTTTGTTCCTTATGACTTGTATTAAAAATATATGAAAAAAATGCACATGTAAAGCATATTTACAAAAATTTGTATGGAAACGAGAGTAAAACAAAGATTAAAAAAAAATGCAATGCTTTTTGCTCTTTACACATTAGTATTAAAATCCCAAATTCCTCTGTTAAGCGCAACACTGAAATGGAAGCTGACACTGCCAAATGTTTTATGTTGAAATACAATAACAGCCCAAAACATTCATTTCTAAATTAGTTTCTTTTTTCCATTCAGCATTTAGGACCTCAGAAATGAAACTCAGCACTAATAACAGGTGAAACAAATCAAATCTGCCTAAATATTGCATACAATATCTTGGCATCGTCATGACAACAGTAATGCAGCTGCATGACATGGTAACTTGGGCTTACTGACACAGCCAAGGCATTCAAATGGGACTGTCAAAATGCAATATAGATACTATGTATGGCTATGTGCAATTAAAATAAGAGGGGAAAAGGGTCGCTTTAGAAATGTGGCATATTTCAACAACTAAAACCATCCAGATCATTTACTGTCAAACATGAAAATTTAAAATGTTAGAAAATACTTTTTAAAATACAAAAAAGCAGAATTTGCTGGAAAGTTGAGAACCTTATATAAAATAACAGTGAACAGTGTAGTGAAAATCGAGTTTTCTACACGATCTTCACCCTCGCTGTCCTTTTAAATAAGGCATCTTCTTCACTTCAGGATACCAACTGAAAAACAAGAAATTTACCCATTATAAAAGTGACAACTGACAAATCGATTATAAAATATTGGTTTAGTATTTCGGAGGTACTTACACCTTTAACTCTTTCCTTGATGAATTCCTTTCTGCTGGTCAGATCAAAGTCAGGATACTTGTCATAAACCTACAATGAAGAGGAAGTTCATAAATAAGTACTTGGAAACTTTTCAGGATGTCAAACATTAGGGGAATATATCTATATCTAGGACACCTGCAGGAACTTAAGAGGAACTGACTGCATGTAATAAAAATCACTGGACTTCAGTTGGTTCAAATGGATATTAGTTGGTGCATATGCATCTAAAGTTAAACGTCTCACTTGTTTGAAGACACAATTTGGTTTGATATTTTGTTAATGCAATGACATTCACACATCTACAGTGTTGAAAGAGCCACTGTAAGCCACTGTTCAAAATGCTTTGAAATAACATACTTGTCGGGTAATCTGCTTCATTGTAACTTCCTCCAAGTTGGCATCTTTCAACAGATCCTTGATTGCCGCCTCCAACTGTTCTTCAGTTGGTGGTTTTTTAATCATCTTGATCAACGGCTGATCATCATCAGAGCTTTCACTTTCATCTGGAAGAAAAATTACAGCATGTCAAACGTGCAAAAAAGTGTACGGTTTCAGTTTTGAGATGATGCCAAATGATTTTATGTCATGTTACTCCCGACAAAAAAAGACAATTTTCTGATTTTAACTTTTGGTCTTGCATCTCGAAGCATTTGCTGCATTATTACCCTTGCTCTTGCTTGCTTTTTTTCCCCCTCGGTTGCTGCTGCTGTCAGCTTTCTTGGTTTTAGGGACAGGCTTTGCTGGAGCTTTCCTCTTTGCTGCAGGCTTTTTTGTCTAGAAAAGTTGTGAAATAAATGGTCAGTTTAAATGTAGTCACATAGAAGTGCATGGTCACAACGGCAGTAAAGAAAATCAGACATAAAAACTGAACACATTTCTGGAGCATCTGCAGATCTGTCAATCTAAAGTGCTACAATCACTATATCATAAATGAAATTTTGCAGTTTCATTCAGAGTCAGTTCAACTCTTTGCACAGATAAAACAGTTTTCATTGTCTAATTAAGCTGTAAATGAACTAATTGTTCATCAGTAGACCAAAACGACAAGCTCAAATAAGCTTGAATTTATTAGAATTTTCAGAATTCAAAAATATTACTACCAGGGCTCTGAACCGAGCGAAAACGAAGTCGGAAACGAACGAAATTTTGACAGGAACAGAACCAGAAACTAAATCAAATGTTATAGTTCCGAACAGAATCGAAAATTTTAAATGGCCATTAACCGGTTAATAACGTTATTTTATCGTTCCATTTAATATTTGAAATTTGCTGTCAATCAATCACGAATTCAAGTAGTACGGCGTAGGCAAATGTGAGCTGACGCATCCAGCGAGTGGTAAGTTGCAATGGCAATGCACCGGCGTTAGTTTATCCGAGGATAGTGTAAGATGGATTCAACAGATCACATGCACCTGCAGCACTTCTGTGAACGAGGAGAAAACCGAATAAACTATAGGCTTACAAAAAAAAGAACATATAGGCATATACACGAAATATATTTCACTTTGATCATTGACAGATTAACAAAACGAAAGAAAAAAAATGTGTGAGCTACGGTTCATTGTGACGCGTTCCAAAGTTCTCGGAAAGGAAAACGAGACGGCAGTAGTTTTCTTTATTTTGCAAAAGCTTTACAGTTTTGAATGATGTCTTGCTTCTATCTGTATAACCAACCAGCGTTGGTATGACCATATCACGCCGGCACCTCACGCGCACACGGACACAACATATTTGAGACATTACAGCCTGTTCAGTATCAAAATAAAATACAGTTAAAGAAACAAATAAAAAGTTACACTGCTCCGTTGCGTTCAGCATGACCACCGCCTCACTGTGTTGATATAGCCGATGTGAAGGATGATGTTTTACATCGATGAATGTACAAAGCCTAGCCTATAATTAATAATATTTTAGCATCCAGATACATCGCGAATATGTAAACATTTGGATTCGTGCCGAATGAGAGAGGTACACATAGGCCTGGGCGATAAAATGGTATCGATATTCATCGACGGTACACCTTCGATATCGATAGAAAAAATGTTCGATATATCGCACGATATAGGCACGTGCTATGAGTGACGCAGACAGCACACACAAACACGAACACATGCTAAAATGAGTGCTGTGCCTGCCTGTGATGAGGA